ACGACTCACCTTTGCCACACTGCTGGAAATACCGTATGCGAAAACCTATAAAAAAGTGCTTTTGGATTCAAAAAAACTATGTCGGCAAAAAATGCCGCCTGCTCTATGAGGAAATGCCCACTGTGACTGTGTCTCGTTACATAAGGAAACAAAAATTAACTATAACTTGTGAAAGAAGGCTATGGGGATAAATCCTTTTGGAGTTTTTTTCTATCCTCTATCAACCGACTCAATATCACTGAAAACGGACGGTGACACGTCAGAAGTTGTTTTGTAGATTTCCGTACTATACATAACTCGCAATATTATCTATGGGTATCCTTTACAGAAATTCATCTTACTTTTGACTTTTTCCAGATTCCTGTTGAGAGATAATAGAGTCTTCACGTGCGCCTATGTCAACGTATTATCAGAAATCGTAAGACTGATTCTTAGCTGATATCACCAGAAAGAAGAATTTTACAAGAAGCAGGACAAGAAAGTCAACCAGTGTATGTGTCATAAGGCATTCAGCGAAAGGAAATAATGGGTTTGAGATCATGTCAGATGATAATTACCTATCTCAACAATTTAGTCAAAAAATTACAAGAAAGTTCTTGATATTCAAACATCATATTTATTGTGAAATGTTAATTTTAGATGCACTGTAACATAATCAAAGAGTGTTATATGATGGCAATTTGTTAGAAGGAACCGAAGTTTAAATTGGTGTCACATTCTCATATATACTTCGATTAGGCATAGAGTATTTTTGTACTCATAACAATTTGTTATTTAGAAATATAGCATTCTGGTTTTTTTTCTCAAGGAACAAATGGAGAAAATTGATTTATGCTCTGGAAATTTTTGGAAAGAATTTAAAGCTTTTGCTTTAAGGGGTAATGTATTTGATTTAGCTATTGGCATAATTATTGGTGGTGCATTTACAAAAGTTGTCGAGTCACTTGTAAATGATGTTCTTACGCCACCATTCGGCTTTTTACTGGGTGGTGTTGATTTTTCTAATCTTACATTACATGTTAATAACTTTTATACAAATTCACCGCCTGTCGTCATTCGATATGGACGATTTATTCAAGCAATTATTTATCTTGTCATTGCTGCTTTCGTATTATTTTTTGTCATGAGACTCATCAATAAATTACACACATTGGCCAAAGCAAAGTGCGAACGCAAATTGGAAGGCCATCCATCACTAGAACATAAAGTTTTGGTAGAAATACGTGATCTATTAGCTGAAAATAAAGAAAATAGACAATTACCAAACATTCAGCATCCTGAAATGCGTGAATAAATGTCTAATTCAACCACATATTTGACACCAGTAGAGCGTGTACGTTGAAAGCATACACGACAGACTATGTTCGTAAATTTAAAATATTTTTCTAATGCTGACAACTCTCTCCTATACTCTGTTTGTTCATCTCTTATCTTTAGTCAAAATATTCATAAGATTATATCTTTGTTGTATGTGCATGTCTTGTATTTGTGATAGTGACTAATTCAAAGAATTTCTTATTAAAAAAGTTTAATGATTTTCTGCAGAACTTTCATTACTAATCGGAACAAAAAATGGTGTCTATTCTATTTAACTCCAAAATTTTCATCATAACTTCATGCTTCTAGTCTGTCGCTGTGTTTACAAGGAGTTCTTCCTAATGAGACAGTGGCAAAGTTGCTAAATGAATTGGTACTCTGTGTTTTGGCTTCCTATATCAACACTGGCAGCAATTCATTGTCTAGCCAGAACGTAGAAAAAGAAGTTTGAATTAAAATTTTATCAAACAATTTGAAATATGAAAAGAAACGTTAAATAAAGCTATTAATTAAATTAATATTTAATGTTAATAACTAAAACGTCTGTAATATCAGGCACATGATCAGTCTTCAACACATTTATTTTAGTAATCGATATTCTATTTCAAAAACACTACGAAACAAAAATGAATGTTAAAACATATAATATGTAATTATTAGGTAGTAAATTGATTAGAACAACTATTATCAAATAAATGGTACAAACAAAACAGATCTCTTTAACAGAAGAAAAATAAGATTTGAGTAAAAATTGTTTACAAATAAAAATAGCCAGATATAAGAATATAATCAAATAAAAAAAACGTGTATGAATGTCAAGTGATGAATTAGAAATCGATGACTAGTATACATTTCGTTTTTAATAGCTAATTTTACCTGAAGATGAAAGACGTTGGATTTTGTTCGTTGATGAAAAAAACAGACACCACTTTCGTTAAGAAATGTACAGCTACATAAATAAATAGAAATAAAATAAATTCGACAAGTTCATTGCACAATTAAAAAAAAAGTTATTTTAAAAATAACTTTTGATAATTAATAAAATCCAAGTTGATATGAAACAGAAAATTAAACTAACTATTTGAGAAAAAAAAAACTAAAAATAGAGAAAAATAAGATACAATTCCAAAAAAAATAAAAATATGAACAAGTTTGACTGTTCATCACAGGCAAAACACAATTTTTTTTATTTTTTTGCTCGAGTTAGTACATTTGCAAATAGACGTATTTTAAAGAAGACATAAGCAAAAAAAATTAAATACAAATACAAGTTAAAAAAATGAGAGCATTTTTCTTAGTAAAAGGACGAATGTTATTCTACGTCTATTTCTATTGCGACTACGACCAGTATTGAAAATTGTTGCTTCACATTGACAAATCTAAAACAAAAATCAACATTCAATAGTGATTGTCTCAATCAAATAATTATCGTTTCATTCATATGTCTATTCTATCAATTCACACGTATTTTTTTTCAAAAAACACGTAATAACACTTACTAGCAGGACTAGAAGTTTCACAGCGTGCGCCTTGTTCATTTGTCGTTTGAGAAGCTATTTTTTCTAATATAACTGATAATAATAAGCCATTAGACACTATCTATGAAGCAATTACCTGCATACAAATTTGCTTCTTCGTGTGGTTTGTTAAAGTTCTTCTTATAACGAATACGCTTGTTACCGAACCAGTTCGAGACCTAAAATGAAATAAAACTAATTAAAACTTTACGAACTAACAATCGATATCATTATGAAAGTTAACGATGCCTCGAAAACGCTTCTTATCTGTAGAATTAAACAAAAAAACATCTTCGATAAATACAAAAAAGTTAAAATAACAAGGATAAGTGTTCAAATTAGCGTTGAACGTTTTTAGTTTTCTATTCAAAGCTTATCGGTCCCTTCTAAAAATAGATGTTTTACATTGCGTTTTTATTAACTTACTTGAGAGACTGATATTCCACATTTTCTTGAGAGTTCATCTTTTGCTTCTTCACTTGGATATGGATTGCTTAAATGTGAATAAAAATATTTATTCAACACCTCGGTGGCCGTTTTACTAAAATTTCGACGTTTTCGTCTAAAATAGGAAACAAAAATACACGAATATAATTCATTGTTTTGGGCATGTTGAGAGTGACAAAAAAAACACCTTGCATCTAAAAATCTTGATCTTAATATCATAACAGCTTCACATGTCGATTGCTTTAATTGTAATTCTATTGAACTAAATTTCTTGCTAATAATTTGTACCATACGATCGATTTCACGAGGATCTATCGGTCTTGCATGACTTTGTTCTTGTAATAAATTGATTACATGAGCAGTAAAATCATTGCATGCTTAAAAAAAAGAATAGATAAAGAAACGTCTTATTGAAAAAGATAAATAACAAGAGGACACCTTTTTCGTATTTCTCAAGTTCACTATGATACAGTTGTCTTATTTGTGTCAATTTTGCTCTATAATCGCTATGTTCTATTGATGAACCATCATTAATTGACGCAAGTGCTAATGCACTGGCCGATGACGATGAACCACTTGCAGGACCATTTCTCTCGGGACCCGCAACACCTAAAAGAGATAAGTCTACTTCTTGATAAAAGAACTATGGGCGATTTATACCTTCAGCAATCAACATGTTATCTAGACGCATCAATTGGGAGTCTACTGATTCATCTTCGGACGTATGTTTTACGTTAATCGCTAAAATAAATGAGAAAATATCATAAAATTTATTAAACATTTCATATACGAGATTCTCATACCGGTTTTTTCTTTTATTTCACACAGAACTTGAAAAAATGCCGGTTTAAGACGATTACAATTAAAAATCTGTTTTCTATAACAAAATCACAAATCGACTACGTTTAAAGTAAACACTCATCCAGTACAAACTTCTGGTGTGCTTCATCTAAACTTTGATCGACAATGGATAAAATTTGTTGCAACATATCATTAACATCGTAACGTTTTGCACAAATATTATTTTCCCCGTCTGGATCTGACGCATTTTCGCATGAATTATATGTAACACCCGGATTCATAGTAAGATGTGGTAATGGTATAATACCGTAAGGTGCTGCATGATAAGAAGAAACCTGATCTTCCATCTAAAAATAACAACAAAATACATCAGCTGACATATATAGAAGTATGTATAGTGTGATTTTGCGTTTTAGAGTTCAAATGACTAATTTTAGCATTTTATCTGACTACAACTCAAGTGTAGTACATGGAATGTTATGAACACAAATAAGCACGTCTTTCGAAAAAGATATCTTCTATACAGCGTCGGATTTGAGGTATCTACGAATTAAGCTGCAACATATATCTTTAATCATGAAAAATCAGCTTTACTCAGTAAACTTGAAGTTGATATATTTGTTGTACAACCACTTTCTTTTAGTCACAAAAAGCGTAAGCCTAGCAAACGTAGACTACTCTAGTGAATGTACTCAAGTGTGAGTACTCAAAAAGTACTCTGCTAGAAAAACCGGACGAGTACTCATACGTACTCATACATTTTTTTACTCACTGAGTACACACCTGAGTACTCATGAGTGAGTAAAAAGTTCTCTGAGTAAGACTTTGAGTACTCATGCTTGGGTATTGTTGAGTACTCATACCACTTTCGGCAAAATACTCATGAGTATTGTTCATCGATATTTTCATATAGAGGACTGATCTCAGGTAGCCAGAGTAGGACCACAAGTCCAGTCATAGACAAGTCTATCTCTGACTATATAAAGAGAGACCAGTGAGAAAATAATAATATAAATATTCTGTGTTTCTTCACTAAATTCTACATTCT